CTCTGGTGGGAGTGAGGAGTGGGAAGCAGGCTGTACTGCCCGTGGGAGTGGAGTGAAGAACCACCACCTTCCACTACAAGCACCTGCAGTCAGAAACTCGTATCTGTGGCTACAGGCTGTTGAGCATCGTCAATGTTTCATGTCCTTTGCCCAAGTTACAGCCCCCAAGTAAAGACAATGTGGAGTTGCATGAACGGGCCTTCAGTCTCTGCTGCTGACTTCTTTTGTGCGCCAGCTTGCCAGCCATTGACACCACCACCGTGTTCTTTCTCTTCTGCCTCTGTTGCTACATTTCACTGGGATCTGCGGAGGTTAATCACAGGAGGGAGAATATTAGTGCCATGCGTTCAGTTGGACAAAGTGCGATAAAAAGCTGGTAAAGGAACTATGAATCATATTTTAATTGTGTAAGAGGGAATACGATACATAGGTAAGCGTAAAGAAAAGTTCTCTTCATGCTGAACTGCCCAAAAAGGGGAGAGGGTGGGGTCTGGGAATCAGTTAAGTATTTTCTGGCAAGTATCAGAGCAAAGCGTTGCGGCTGAAGGCCTGTGTGAGCAAGCGGTGAAGGGGCGGCTGTAGTTCCTGTGCGTGCCAGGGCCGCTGCACAGCCCGAGCCTGGGCCCCACGCTCGGCATCTTGAGCAATCCTGCAGAGCAATGCAAATAAAGCAGCTTCTGCAACATAGTTGTGCAAGTCGGCTCGTGTTTCACTGGCACCACGTGTGGTCCTTTTTCTTGCCAATCTTCTTCCTAAAGACGGTGCCACCGACCCCTGCGCAGGCTGCAGGCAGGACCCACTGCCCAGTGTTCCCGGTGGGGGACACCCACTCTGGCCAGAGGAGATCGTGGCCAGATGGCCTCAGCTCCTTTCCCTGGAAAAAGAACATTCCACGGGCTTGATGAGCATATAGCTAAAGAGATGAGGGGAGTTTTGAGGGGAAAGGAAACATAAAGGGATCAGAGAAGAGACTGATAAGGAAGGGGGATGGGAACTTCAGCAGAAGGGAGGAGAGGAGAAAGATAACTGTCAAGGAATAGACTGGACTGGAAATACTTCATTCTGATACATGTTTTTCTAGGAAGTGCAAGTCACTAGGTCTTACCTCCTGAGGCTTTGTAGAACTGTCAGCATGTTACAGGGAGGTAAGTCACATTGTTTTGGATGTATTTTGATGCAGAGTACACAGAATGTGTCTTCTACCTTGAAGGCCTTCGTGGGAGAATTTAGAGGGTTTTTTATATGCATTATTTTTGTGGTGACATTTTGTGTTACACTACCGATCTTTTAACTGCAGCACACCTCACAAATTTTCAACTTGACATAACAAGGCGTTCTCTGTGATAGTGGCATTGCCTATACTTTCCCAGAGGTGCCCAGCCTTCTGCTCCAAGGTGTTTAGCCATCACTCCACTCTCAGGAAAGAGATGTATGGGTATATGGGGTGTGCAGGGAGTTGGGGAGCAGATTTTCCTCTAGCTGGGAGAGGAGTAAGTCTTTTTTGCTTTTTGAGGTTGGCCATCCACATGTGTGGTCTTTCCCAACTGATGTGTTAGGCTTGCAGCATGAGGTCTCTGCTGGCCAGCTGGTGGGAAAAGGGGCTCAAGAGCAAGGTGGTAACAAGCCCAGGTTCAAGCAGCTTCTTGAGGGAGAATACAAGTTAAACTGGCCAATTTTGTATAACCAAACAATATATTTTGTCAGCTCATCACCATAAGCAGTATGCAGGAGAAATAATTTGTTACTTCTATCCAGATAAAATCCATGCGGTTAGAGGCATAGTATCTGTGTGTGAGCTTGGCCAACACAGGGCTTATCTGAGGTTCCTGTACCTTACATGTGCTACAGAGATGGTGCAGCTCGGAAGGTTTGTAAGCACAACATGTAGTATCTTATCTGCTATACTGCAGGCAGTCATAGCTTATCTGCAGCATTATCATAAATCAATACCTTTATGAAATTAGTTTCCCTATGAACTTTAAGATGGCCTTAGCAGGCAAAATTTGTGTGGCATCTGTAGCTCTGTACTCTCAAGAAACAGCAAGAGAGATTAATTATGACCACTGCTGTATAAAGCAAAAGTATGTTATTACACCGTAATACACTGGGTGATGTGATGGTTGGAGGCTGTCCCGGGCATAGCGATCAAAAAACAGTAGAGTTTTTGATTCTCAGAGAAGTAAGGAGAGGGGTCATCAGAACTGCTACCTTGGACTTCTGACGGGGAGACTTTGGCCTGTTTAGGAGACTGGTGGAGAGAGTCCCTTGGGAGGCAGTCCTGAAGGGCAAAGGGGTCCAGGAAGGCTGGACATTCTTCAAGAAGGACATGTTAAAGATGCAGTAGCTGCCTGTCCCCACGTGCTGAAAGATGAGCCGGCGGGGAAGAAGACTGTCATGGCTGAACAGAGAGCTTTGGCTGGGACTCCGGTAAAAAAGGAGAGTCCATGACCTGTGGAAGAAGGGGCAGGCAACTCAGGAAGGCTACAGGGATGTCGTGGGGTTATGGAGGGAGATTAGAAGGGGCAAAGCCCAACTAGAACTTAATCTGGCTACTGCTGTAAAAGACAATAAAATTGTTTCTATAAATACATTAGCAACAAAAGGAGGGCTAAGGAGAATCTCCATCTCTTGTGGCCGAAAAGGAGCCATTTAAGACAGCCTCCCTCCCCTTGGGACCTACAACCAAGTTCAAGATATCCTTGGACTGAATTAAGGTGAAAGGACACCAGCCAACCAGTTTAATAATGTATTAATACAAAATACAAGGCAAGCGGTTAGATACAGTAACTCAGTGACAACTACATAGTTGCATAACTTAACTGGATAAGCAAGCCCTCTGCTGCACATTTTTACTTGGATCTAGTTATAAATTGTTTCAAGAGAAAGAAAGGAGAGAGAGAGATTGAGAAAGAGAGACAGAGACGGAGAAAGGTATCACCATCTGTGGATCCAGCCGGTGTCCCGTTGGTCCTTTTGATTCTTGGTGTCTCGGTGGTGGGGGTCCCCCCCAGCTTCTGATGGTACCACTTTTATACATGTGAATTCCCAAAATCAATGCCTGGTTCCGAGAAACTTCAGGCATATGCATGGTGGGCGTGGGGTCATGTGATGTAACAGGTATTAAAACCACAGGATCTTGCCTGGTTCAGTTTTACCTCTGCGGGGCCGGAAACTGTTGTTTCGTCCTTGCTTGTGATTTTCTCTGTCTGAGAAATGTTTTAGGCAAATGTCCACGCATCCATCTGCCACACCATCCTTTATTGGATGTGAGGGGAAACATACTGACAAAGGATGAGGAAAAGGCTGAGGTACTTAATGCTTTCTTTGCCTCAGTCTTTAATAGTAAAACCAGTTGTTCCTCTGGTATCCCTGCTCCCTGAGCTGGAAGATGGGGACAGGGAGCAGAGGGAAGCCCCCATAATCCAAGGGAAGTGGTTAGCAACCTGCTACACCACTTAGACACACACATGTCTATGGGGTTGGATGGAATACACCCAAGGGTACTGAGGGAGCTGGCAGAAGTGCTCACCAAGCCACTGTCAATTATTTACCAGCAGTCCTGGCTAACTGGGGAGGTCCCAGCTGACTGGAGGTTAACAAATGTGACGCTCATCTACAAGGAGGGCTGGAAGGAGGATCTGGGAAACTACAGGCCCGTCAGCCTGACCTCAGTGCCGGGGAAGGTTACGGAGCAGATCATCCCGAGTGCCATCATGCGGCACGTTCAGGACAAGCAGGTGCTCAGGCCCAGGCAGCAGCGGTTTATGAGAGGCAGGTCCTGCTTGACTGACCTGATCTCCTCCAATGACAAGATGACCTGCTTGGTGGATGAGGGAGAGGCTGTGGATGTTGTCTACCTAGACTTTAGTACAACCTTTGACACTGTTTCCCACAGCATTCTCCTGGAGAAACTGCCAGCTCACAGCTTGCTCAGGCGAACTCTTTGCTGGGTAAAAAACTGGCTGGATGGCCGGGCCCAAAATGTTGTGGTGAGTGGAGTTCTATCCAGTGGGTGGCCAGTCACAAGTGGTGGTCCCCAGGGCTCAGTACTGGGGTCAGTTCTGTTTAATATCTTGATCCCCTTGTCCTGATCATTGATAGAGTGCACCCTCAGTAAGGTTGCAGATGACACCAAGTTGGGTGAGTGTAGGAAGACTCTACAGGGGAATCTGGACAGGCTGGATCAATGGGTCGAGGCCAGTTGTATAAGGTTCAACAAGGCCAGGTGTCAGGTCCTGCCCTTGGGTCACAACCACCCCATGCAGCGCTACAGGCGTGGAGAAGAGTGGCTGGAAAGCTGCCTGGTGGAAAAGGACCTGGGGGTGTTGGTTGGCAGCCGGCTGAATATGAGCTGGCAGTGTGCCCAGGTGGCCAAGAAGGCCAATGGCATCCTGGCTTGTATCAGATATAGCGTGGCCAGCAGGGCTGGAGAAGTGATCGTCCCCCTGTGCTCGGCACTGGGGAGGCTGCACCTCAAACACTGTGTTCAGTTTTGGGCCCCTACATTACAAGGAAGACATCGAGGTGCTGGAGCACGTCCAAAGAAAGGCAACGAATCTGGTGAAGGGTCTAGAGACTAAGTCCTGTGGGGAGAGGCTCAGGGCACTGGGGGTTGTTTAATCTGGAGATAAGGAGACTCAGGGGAGACTTGACCGCACTCTACAGCTACCTGAAAGGAGGGTGTAGCGAGGTGGGTGTTGGTCTTTCTCCCAAGTAACAAGTGATAGAACAGGAGGAAATGGCCTCAAGTTGAGCCAGGGGAGGTTTAGATTGGATATCAGGAGAAATTCCTTCACCAGAAGGGTTGCCAAGCATTGGAACAGGCTGCCCAGGGGAGTGGTCGAGTCACCATCCCTGGAGGTATTTAAAGATGTGTAGATGTGGCACTTAGGGACGTGGTTTAGTGGTGGACTTGTCAGTATTAGGTTAATGGTTGGACTCGATGATCTTAAAGGTCTTTTTCAACCTAAACAATTCTGTGATTCTATGAAAAGTCTTGGGTGGATGAGGAGAGGAGCTAGGTTTCAAAAGAGCAAGCAGACTATATGGATGAATACTCTGAGGCTGCCGTTCCCCAGATGGGAGACAGGTCACCAGCTGTGGACTCTGTTAGACTTTTCCTGTAGGAAGCCTCAGGCCAGACTCTCCTTTGTGCTCTGTGGGTGTTGGAAATTATTTAGCAGAGGCTCTTGACCTCTGTTCTTCTAGCCATGGCCAAACACATTTCACATCCCCGGCAGGCTGGAGCTGTGTCTCTGAGGCCACTAGAATGCCCCGCTGTCCCTGAAGCACCTGCCTGAGGTCACACATATCTACCGTGCTTCTCCCTGCTTCCTCTTCCTGCACCCCTCCGTAAATTAATTACAGTCATGCAGGTAAACCTGGGAGAGTGCTGTACTTAGTAATTACTAGTCAGGTGATATACAGTATTTTATCTCCTTTTTGCTTCTTTCTGAAGGAAGAAAAACGAATCTTGATTTCAGAATGCTGGGCATAATTTGAAAGAAGATGAGGCTTGAAATCCACAGCAAAGGCATGCAGTGCTGACCTGCACCCCGCCCCTCGCACCAGGACGTGGTGCCAGGAGGGGGCACGTAAGTGGGCGCGTGAGCAGCGCCGGGGCCTGCGCTGGCACCCGGGCGTTGATGGATCCGGTGGGTCAGGCAGTCATTCACAAATCGAGCGTGTGTTGCACGCGGTAAGAAGGACGCGTCCCCTCGCAGCACTGCTTGCTGGCTTTGTGATTTTTGTTTTCCAGTCGGCACGTTGTCCTTGGTCACTGTTCACTGAAAGCCATTCCAACAGATTAATGAGTGGCCAGACTGTAAAACTGAGGAATCGGGAAAAGGTACAGCCACAGCTAGACAGCGTAGGTTTCTTTAGCAGCTTGCACAATAGCATGTTTTAATATATCAGCCAGGCTCTTACGAGTGTCACCAAAGTAATTCAGCGAAGCTTTCGTGTTCTCACTGCATCCCAGCTGATGTGAATTCAGAAGCCACTCTCCCCTTTTCTCTTGGCACCTACAAGTGCCACTGAGAGCAGTGGGTTTGGAGGGCAGCCTCCCACGGAGGTGGAAAGAGGGGACAGCTTCCCAACAGGGCTTTTGCTTTCTTCCTGGCATGTTGAGGGCAACCACAGGTGGGATGTGAAAAGGGTGGGGAAGGGCGTGACAAAGGAATCAGGAAGACCGAAGCGCTGTAAAGAGCGAGGTCTCAGCAGCTGGGTGATTTATTTTCGTTGCAGCGCTTTGGCTGATGAAGGGGTGGGACTCTGCGCTGGGAGGCTTGGCTAAAAGGGCAGCGCCGTGCACTTGCAGGAGCACTTCACAAGACCGGCTTCTAGTGGATTTGACAAGACTTGTGGTATCAGCAACCTGACTGCTTTGCAGCTGACTGAATCCTTGGTGCCAGAAATCGGTGGTGGCAAGACTCGAAACAGACACACCAGTCAACATGAGCACGGCAGGCAAAGTAAGCAAAAGTTGTATTAGGAAAGTATTTTTGCTGCAACTGAGTAATGCATTTTTGAATGCAGTTTCTTTGCAGGGACACTGTAAGTCCTGGTGGTACAGCACAGGTGGGAGTTTAGGTCCAGGAGAGCTGCCTTTACTTGCAGGCCATTCTACTCGCCCAGGAAATGGTTCTCTTCAAGGCAAAACTTACTTATTTTTTAAACACAGAGGCAACATAATGTAACAGCACCAGAATGAAAATAACCTCTTCCCAGGTTAGCAAGCTATTGTTATCTCTGACTGGACAGTTTAAAATATGATACAATGCAGTAAGTGTTCAGATCAATGTATCTATCAGTTTCCATTCTGAGATACCACAGTGGTTTAAACGATTTTTAGCTTCTTTATAATTCATATCAGTTTGCTGTCTAAAAAAAAGACATAGTTAATACTGTGTTAAATTTCAGGGTGTAATTATGATGATGTTAGGACATTCGTTAAATTTGAATATGCGTATAGCAAGTCTGAAGCTTAAGTTAATGAAAACCAAAAGTAACTATGACATGGAATGCAGTACTGAAATGAGTATTTACATCTTTGCTAGAAAGCAGGTGACAAGGGAGATGCAGGATAATACCACTGCTGAAGACAGTGTATGTTGCTGCTTGCACTACCTGAGAGAAGCTAACATAGAATCATAGAATCATTTATGTTGGAAAAGACCTCTAAGAGCATCAAGTCCAACCACTAACCTAGCACTGCCAAGTCCCCCACTAAACCCGAGTGCCACATCCACAGCCTCTCCCTCATCCACCAAGCAGGTCACCTTGTCATCGGAGGAGGTCAGGTCAGTCAAGCAGGACCTGCCTCTCATAAACCGCTGCTGGCTGGGCCTGAGCACCTGCTTGTCCTGTGATGGCACTCGGGATGATCTGCTCCACGCACCCAGAGACAGGCAAGAGAGGTCGATGGACAGGACCCCAGAGATGGAAAACGATCCAAGGCATGCATGTTGCTGGAATGTGCCTTAAGAAAGTACCAGGATTGTTTGCTGTTACTGCCAGTGTCTTCACTATTCTAAAACCAAACAAAATGAGAGGGGAAAAAAAAAAAAAAAAAAAGCTCTCTTTTAACTCCGAGATACCTCAAGTACAAAATTAATTGTAGCTCACTTGTAGGTAAATTCACCAAGTTCATTCCTCCATCCACCCTTTAACTGAGCTTGGTAAATGAAGTGCTGTGATGTAACTAAGCTGCCTTGTTTTCCTTGTGCTTATCTCAAACTAAGATGTGAGTTACCGTGCAGTTTATGTGACCAAGCAGCAAATCCTTACACTGTAGAAGGGTGTGTTCCTACACCTCCCCTCCCCCTGCTGCAGTAACTGGTACAGAGCAGGAAAAACCCCCGTGACTCCAGCTAGTGCTTGCCTTAATAGATGAAGTGGGTGACAGGCTGCTGTTGGTGCATCCGAGGGATCCTGTTATAGTCGGTAAAAGTCCACAGGGACTCAACCATCAGAACAATCCGTAGTTAACCAATGTCTAATTGGAGGAGGGATTTATTTGTTCTCAACAATCTGCAGTTCTTGGCTACCTTTGTTCTTACAAACACTATGTGTGCTTTACATGTGCAAGTTGTGCAATCATTATTGTGATTTTATAAATCACGTAATAATAGATAGGTAAGTTTGGAGGTTTTATAAGTAAGCTTCTTAGAAAATGTGGCCTTTTAAAATGTGAGCTTTGGGCTCATTAGTGAATTTTTTTACTAATCCCACCTGCATTTGATGTTAAATTTAGTGCAAACTTCTCTTGAGTCTGTCCATTTCAAAGTGTTTTGCTCATTCCCACTTTGGGTCCGGCTGTTGAAAGTGTGGCATTTTATTTCATATGCTTAGTATTTCCTGGTAATTACTTTGTTACCTGTTGACAATTTGTTGATAATTAGACAGTATTCCTACTTCTACTTCAAAAGCCTTGATACTAAAAAGTTGCTATATTTTTTTTTTCCCCTGAGAGCTTTGCAGCACACTGGTGTTAAGTTGTCCCAGTCCCAGGGTCCCATAAGGATACCTACACACGTGCCAAACTTTGTGCATCGTGGACTCGATTCGCCTCTGTTTGCCTCTCAGGATAATGGCCCCTTAAGGTTCACAGTCAGTAGGACTTAACAGACTGTCACCCATAAGGCTGCCATGAGAAATCTTATTCTGGGGCCTGGAAGTCATTCAAAGCTCTGGGATGGGCAGAGACCACCAAGGAAGAACAGGAATGAATACAGGGACAGAGGGGCCCCATGAGCGTTGAACACACTAGGAGTGAGCTTGCAGGTGGAAACTGGGGCTACTGTCTGTCTGAGGGCCGGGGCTAAGGAGTGGCCAAAGCTCCTCTCTCTTCCGAGCGCCTTCTTCCCTCAGTGGCAGGTGATCAGAGGGGCCCAGAGGCCTGTCAGCACCCGGACAAAGCCTGCGGGGCTAATGGACAAACTTTAGCCTGACAGACAAAAAAGCTGTCTTGGGTATTGGGTGTAACCGCATCTGAGTTAAATACTCCTTTTGAGAAGCGAGGCACTTTGGCACAGATAATCTTGTGCCAAAGGGACTGTTGCTTCCTCAAGATTACCTCTGCATAGTGCTATGTTGTTTTACAGAAGTGTCCTCTCAGCCGTCACCTCGTGGCTGAACTTGGGCTGTAACAGAATGTTTATAAACCTGTATTAGGCTCTGAATTGCATTTTTAGCAATTTTGTTAAGTTCCCAACAGGGGCAGTTCTAGGCAATACAGACTTTATCACAACCTAATGTATGGCATAATTTAGTGTGCCGTCTCCAAGAAGACACAAATATACACCAGTGATCCAACACGGCAAAAATAATCCTCCAAGGAAGTTAGAAACAGAGAAGGAGCAATGAGGAATCGATAAGGTATCCAGTTATCCTAGGAGACTGTTATGCATGTTGCTGAAAACTTCATATGACAGAAATATGAACTAAGTCAGACATGATCTTGGGGGGGGGGGGGGGGGGGGGGTGGGGAAGAGAGGAGGAGGAAACGGTCTTACACTGCACTTTGGTGTTGGCTTTTTTTGTTGCATTTTGGGTTTGGGGTCTTTTTTTTCCCGCAGTTTTCCCTCTCCTTCCCCAAATATGAGCAGGAGTTTCACGTGCAGAAAGGTAAGAATCTGCTGTGTGGTGACTTGCAAGTGCAAATGCCATTCCCTTTCTCTTTGCTGCTTGCAGGTTATTAAATGCAAAGCAGCAGTAATGTGGGAAGCCAATAAATCATTTTCGATTGAAGAAGTGGAAGTTGCCCCACCGAAAGCACATGAAGTTCGCATAAAGGTACTAAAACCAGAATTTAAAACAACTGTTATGGCTTGCATTCTATCTTGCTGTTTATCAGAATTATTTCTCGAGAATTTTAGAATCCAGTTGGAAAACATTCACTAGGTGAGTAGTTACTGGTCACTGACCTCCTGTGGAACACGCTTCAAGTCCTAAACTTGATCATGAGGCTCTTTAAAAAAAGAAATAAATTGGGGGGATTTGGGTTTTTGTTTACCAAGACATCTCTGTTTCTAATAGGCTGAAAAAATTACAGTACAAGGCAAAAATCTGAATCTCCTATAATGTGGAGCAAGAAGTTCTCTTTTACTTTGTTTGAATCCGTGCTAGGAAAGAGCTCAGTAGGACTGGAAGCTTCCTTTTTTAACTGGGTATTGAGCATCTGTTACATTTCAGGAACTTTCCCAGTGGAATTTAACCACTGTTTTCATTCTAGAGCAGTTTCAAATGCTACACAAGTGAGGAGAACCCTCTAGTGGGGTTGACAACTCCACTTGTCAGAATAGAAGTTGTAAAGACATACCTGAATGTTTCAAAGGAAATATGGCTGTGCTACCTGCAAGCAAAGGCAAAATGTGATCTAAAATACTATGTCTAGCCTAAAGTTTTGTATATAGAACATATGCATATCTTTCAAATATATAAATAATATATAATTATGTCATTATACCATATCATTGTATAATACATGTTATATAACATATCTATGATATATTGTAATACAACCTAAATATAAGGAATATAAAAATGTATTTCTATGTATACGAATAATATGTGATAGTTAATTTCTATTTACATAATTCTGTAATATTTCTATAATATTACAAGATTTTTCTATTTGTGTATTTATATATGAATATTTGGAATAATATAATTTATTCTGTTCTTCTTATATAGCTGTATTGCTAGAACATTGGTTCTGCCAGATAATCTGTGAGACTCCCTCTAGAGCTCAGTAGTGCACAGCAAACCTTCGCGAAGGAGCCTTGTTCTGTCGACTACAGGCTAATACAAACCATTGCAGTCATGAATCACAGACCCCCAAATTGTTTTACCTGTAGATTTATTGTGTGCGTATGTGATTTTGGAGAGAAGCAAGTGACTTCTCCAAATATATGATATCATTTCACTTCTGCATATGACACGACATAGTTAAATGCTCAAATACTCTTGTCTTTCCTCTAAATCAGATTGTGGCCACAGGGATCTGTCGCTCTGATGACCATGTGATAACTGGTGGGCTGGTTATGCCTTTCCCAATAATTCTTGGGCATGAAGCAGCTGGTGTTGTGGAGAGTGTTGGGCAGGGAGTAACTTCGGTCAAACCAGGTATGAAACAGCAGCGAACACAAACCCTGTGCTGAGTTTCCAGACTCCTGTTTAAGTCAAAGATGTTTATATGTGTGAGTACTCGTACTGCAGCGGAAAATGCTCCAACTTTGAGTTCTTTCAAGGATACCTTAAAGGACACCGTGTGCTGTTTACGTCTTTCTGTGTTCTTAATCTTGATTTCTTTTCAGATTCACTGTTCAGTTTCTTTTGGTTTTGGCAAAAATCTCTGCAGCTTGCTTTGCAGCTACGTAGCGCTTTTCCTGCCATGGGTTTAAGAGCGTAAGTTCTTTGCTGCTGGTCACAGGAAATCAGGTGTTAGCGGCAGGCTCTTGAAACACACTTTACAGAGCTAATCTCTTCCAAGAATAAGGCAAAGCAAAGCACGAGACAACGTGTCAAGGCACCTTCTTTCAATTCCCCGAACAGCTAAATAACCCACTGACTCCAGCGGGCCAGAACTTAGGTCTGTGTGCCCGATTACTTCAGGTTAAAAGCATGGGGGCAGGACTGGGGTGCGCGCCCTGCCGCAGGCCCTGCTGGCTGCAGCGCCGGCGCAGGGCAGTCAGCGCTGCTCGGCGGGGCTGGGGCGCTCTGAGGGCACCGGCACCGCCCGCTCCGCTCCCCACGCTCTCGCTGAACAGCAGAGAAGTCAGTGACAGATGCTGGTCTTCCTCCAGCTGCTGCAAGATGAGACGGGATTTCTGTACATTTTACAGGACCAAACAAACGCTAACAAGGGCTAAATTGTTAAGGCAGAATATGCAGTGAACAAAACCTGCACAGAAGTGCTCGATTTTATCCAGGTGGTTTGCTACAATACCGTTACGCTTTTAACACCTCTGTACTTCCAGTGTCTTTCTTCGTACTGGCAGCAAGTATGAAGTCTGTCTGAAGCAGGTTGGTATGTATGATAAGAGAAAGTTTTATTAGCTATCCCAACATGTACATACATTGCAAATTCCAGTGATAGCTCCAGCTGCTTTTTCTCTGATGTCTGGGTTCATAAATCCCTCTGTTGTCCAATTCTAGCTGTCATGTTTCCAGGTGAGCTGAAACAGCAGGCCTGAACACACACATACGCACGCGCACACAAAATCACATTTTTCCAGATGTTCTCAAGTTCTAAGAAAGGCTCCAAGGCGTGCAAAGTTTCTTTAGCAGAATGATTGCTAAGCCCAGGTCACAGTTCCAAGTTAACTGAGGGTCGAGGTAATGGGGACATTTCATGTTCTGTAGGCACTTTCCGTTTTGTACTGGAAATCAAAGATTTCCCTTGGCTTGCAACATGTCAAGGATTGGCTACTTTTATAACTGCCAAATCTCAACCTGAGCTGCATTAGGAGTTACCTGTTCAGAGACTCTTGGGCATTTACCGTATGTCGTTGCCACAGAAAATGCGTATCAGTAAAAAATTGCACTGGGAAGCTATGTGCTACTTCGTTAATCACGTAACTGTGCTAGAGAATTAGAGATGTTGTCTTAGCTTGTGTGTGTCACTGCTTCTCCAACAAATATTTTACCTACCTTTAATCCAGCACAACAGTAGTAAGACTGCAAACAGGAAAGAGATTCAAGAGGGCTGGCAAATTAATACTTTATTTCCCATTCTTTGTATGCCCCGTTATCTTGGTATGCCTGTTATCTCGGCACTCCTGCCTGCTGTCCTAGTGGATGTCAGTTTTTATCTCAGTGTCTTTACCTGTGTATTACTATTTTCCTTTCAAGTAGAAGATGCAATAAACTGCTGAATGAGTACTCTGGGAATGTCAGTAGCTACCACGATTTTATGACATAGCTCAGACTCAGTTCTATGAAAGACACCAGGAATTTTGCATATTGAAATTAGTTGTCATAACTTTGCCCTAATGATGTCCTTTAAAACAGAGAGAGATGGTTTATCTTCCAAGGACAGCAGAAGGAAAGAAAACCAGCATTACATTCGTGGTGCACATTTGCCTAGGGATTAAATACACTTGCTTTATTTTTTACCTGCATGCTTCTTGCTTGCCTTTTTTAATCCTCTCTCATTACTCTTCTTTTTCTAGGAGACAAGGTTATTCCACTCTTTGTTCCACAGTGTGGGGAGTGCAGCAGTTGCTTAAGCACCAAGGGTAATCTGTGCAGTAAAAATGAGTGAGTTTTCCTGGGTTACCTACAACCCTTATTTGGTTTTTATTTACACAAAACTGATCACATTCGATAGATTTCACTTGCCATTATTTCTGGTCATCTTTCCAACAGCATTGGTTCAGGTGCTGCATTAATGCCTGATGGCACCAGTAGATTCACCTGTAAAGGAAAAGCAATTCACCATTTTATTGGTACAAGTACATTCACTGAATACACAGTGGTGCATGAATCTGCTGTAGCCAAAATCGATTCCGCTGCTCCTCTGGAAAAAGCATGTCTAATTGGCTGTGGATTTTCAACTGGTTACGGGGCTGCCGTGCAGACTGCCAAGGTAGATGTCGTGGTGGGTGTTTCTGGTGTGTTCTGGGGTCTGCTCAGGATTGTGTGGCCTCTGAGTGGGTCATCAGTACGGCAGCCAGGAGGTATAGACACTGTTGAGTTCAGGGTGGAAGGAAGATACTAGTTCTTTGCCTGCTTCAGTTTCTCTAAGGTACTCAGAAGTCTACAATTCAGAGTCCAGTAAAAACACCTATTACCATCTACTAAGTTTTCTCTCATAGCTTTATCACCCCTAGAAAAATGTTACAACGGAGCTTGATTTGTTTTACTGTAACTGATGTCTAGGTGTCTTAGTTTGGGCTGAAATAGAGTTAATATTCCTTTTCAGGGACTAGATGAGTGCTGTGTTTTGGATTTAGCTTTGGGTTTGGTATGGGAAGAATGCTGATAGCACACTGGTGTTCTCAGCTGCTACCGAGACTTCAAGGACTCTCCGACTCCCCATGTCCTGCCCGTGCACCAGGGCACAGGGAGCAGGGAGGGAGCACGGCCAGAGCACCTGACCCAAACTGGCCAGTGAAATATTCCATATCATGGCACGTCATGCTCACTATATAAAGGAGGGGTGGCTGGGAAGGAGCTCTCTCTCTCTCTCTCTCTCTCTCTCTCTCTCTCTCTCTCTCTCTCTCTCTCTCTCTCTCTCTCTCTCTCTCTATCTCGCTTCCGGGATTGCGACTGTGGGATCTTGGTATCTCGGGGTCGCTGGCCGGGAACGGGCTGGGGATTGGTCAGTGGGTGGTGAGCAATTACACTGTACATTGCCTGTTTATATATTTCTTTTTGTTTTCCCCCCATCATCGTTATTGTTTTCATTTTATTGCCATTATTAAACTGTTCTTATCTCAGCCTGCGAGTCTCCCTTCACCCCTCTAATCCCCTCCCCCATTCCCAGGTGGGGAGGGGGAGGGCAGGGTGATCAGCTGCGGGGTTGGTTGCCGATCAGGCTCAAACCACAGCACTAGGAATACATGGGAGCCTATATATGCAACACTCATAATTTGTAGCAATACATTAATGTGACTTTTACAGATGGCACTGTCTCCAGTGGAGTGACACTACAGATCTTAAGACCACTGGAATATAAAACATAGTTTAAAATAATGTGTCTCCAAACCTGAAGCTGAAACGTGTAATGAAAACCTGTTTTCAGAAATGTATTTTATGAACAGTTTATCTTAGTCATGTGTAGGATTATAACAGTATAGCTGGCTGCTGCACTGGTAGGTATGCATGTGCAAATTTCTTTTCAGCAGGTAATCTCTAAATTACAAGAAGTGGTTTAAATGAAATGGTGTTGATAATAAGAACAGGCGTTGTACTATACCTGGACTGTAACAGTATCCCATGTTTATATGGTTATTATAGGTGGAACCAGGATCTACCTGTGCCATCTTTGGCCTTGGAGGAGTTGGCCTCTCTGTTGTCATGGGCTGCAAGGCGGCTGGAGCTTCCCGCATCATCGCCATTGATATCAATAGTGACAAGTTTGCCAAGGCCAAGGAGCTGGGAGCCACCGACTGCGTCAACCCTAAAGATTTCAAGAAGCCTATTCATGAAGTGCTGATTGAGATGACCGGCCATGGTGTGGACTACTCCTTTGAGGTCATTGGCCGTACCGAAACCATGGTATGCAACCAAAAGATGTGGGCAAATGAGGCATTAGCCTGTTAGCTCTCTCTTCACTAACCCACTAAGCATCAAGGGTGAGGAGCTGAGAGGCCGCTGGCAAAGTGTCAAGCTAACTTCAAACCTCTTAAGTTCAGCTATCTGCCACTGAGCTGCAGGGACAGAAGCATGCTCAGAAACTTAGGGAAGGGAACCAATGTAGTCCCCTCGCCTTACCAGAGTGGCTAAATTTCACATAGCCCACTGCCTGCTTTCCAACAGTGGCTTATCAGTAATGACTAAGACAAAACGGGGAAGAACAAAGCTAGGAGATACCTAACCCATGGCGGCGAATACAGTGGAAACTGTTTGATGTGGTTTCAGTTACAAAAAATTATTTTCAAGCTGAGCCCTGAGAGGAGGAGAAGGAATTCAGACTTTTGTGCCCCAGCAGCAAATCTTGCATGACTCTGGGGTGTCCCTGTGTTTCAAATGCAGGCTGCAGCCCTGGCTTGTTGCCAATACAACTATGGAGTCAGTGTGATTGTGGGAGTGCCTCCTGCAGCACAAAAACTCACTTTTGACCCCATGCTCCTCTTCACTGGTCGCACCTGGAAAGGGTCCGTCTTTGGAGGTAAGGACTTGGAAAGATGTGATTTAACTGGCTTGGGAAACTTGTAGAGCTTCTTGAATGAAATAGGATATATCTAAATTCATTGCTCAGATTGTCCAATTGGTAGTAATATTGATAGCTGTTTTGCTGGCGAAGCACAAAATGAATTGATTATGGGAACTGTTAGTTAATAGCAAGAAAAGGAGAGAGAAAAACAGAGATGGATGGAGGGGACAAGGAGGGGAAGAGAATAAGAGGCAGAGAAGGAGAAAGGAAGAGATAAAAAGACAAAAAATAGAGAAAAAGGGGGAAAAAGAGGAGAAAGAAAAGAGGAGAAAATGAGAAAAAGGGGAGAGAGAAAGAGAGAGAAAGGTAGAAGAAGAGAAAAAGAAAAGGAGGAGGAGGGTAGAGAGAAGAGAAAAATAGAGAAGAGAAAAAGAGATAAGGAGAAAGGTAAGAGAAAAGGACAAAAGGCGAAAAGGATGAAATGAGGAAAAGGGCAGGGGAGAGAGGGAGGGGAAGAAAAAGAGCAAAGGCAAAAATGAGATTGAAAGGAATGGAAGTACAGAAAGAGAGGGAACGAAAAAGAGAGGCAGAGATGGAGAGTCAAGACCCTAAGGGACATCAGGGGTCAGACCCACCTGAAATCCACATAGGTCAGGCACCAGCTCAGCCCCCCGCCAGCTCCCGTCAGGCCCTTCCAATTCCTTCCCTCTTGTGAGCCCTCCCAGCACAGTGCCACACTCGGCAAGCCTAGCTCACTCAACACAAAGCTGAAGGCCACAGAACACTTGTTTCCAACAACAGGTTTTCTCACTCACAGCCAGTTCCTCTGATGTATTCAATAATAAAATGGCAGAGACGAGTTCCTCTTGAAGGGCATCCTACTGTTTGAGACAGCTTTACCTAGTACTGCTTGTAAGAAAAAGAGACAATCCACACCCTTGCTCCCCCAGTTTTGACCAGGCAATCAAGTTTCCAGTTACCAACGTGGATGTCAGCACTCTGGCTTTTGTATGATGTGTGATTTAGTGGACAATGTGTCAATAGGCAAGCTGAAACAGTATTTAATGTGGGGGCAAGTTTTTACCCGTCTTCTACCAGTAAAGCACTTAATGGGTTTGTCATATGTAAAATAGCTGCAGTTCATCCCATGTTTCCTGAGGGCACTGTGTGTTACAAGGGAAAGATGTGCTGCAACATTTCATCATGCTATTCTGCTACAGAAACTTTATCTGAAAGCTTAAGCTGCCATGGGCTATATCTATTTTCACAAGCATTTATTATTTCATGATCCATTGTCTGTGTTTTTTCAGGCTGGAAGAGTAAAGATGCAGTCCCTAAACTCGTCGCTGACTACATGAACAAAAAATTTGTTCTGGATCCATTAATAACCCACACACTTCCTTTCACTAAAATCAATGAAGGATTTGATCTGCTAAGGACAGGGAAGAGGTAAACGTTGTTTAATTGTAAAGGTTCTAAGTAAATAACCCTAAAGGAGCTGTACAGTAACACAGAGCATGATTTCAGGGCAGAGAATGGAGAAGGCAACCCACTGTGCCCCTCAGTCCCACCCAGTGTGTGTCCACGAGTGGCGGCTGCAGTAATAATGCCAGCAGAGCTTTAGCTTTTGAAATGCGAGGGGCCCTGTCTTTCATTGCAGAGAAACTTTCAGATTCTAGTTTGAGCAAAGACTCCCAAGTGGCAGAGGGAGAAAAAACGACACAAATGAGGAAGTTCTCTGCCCACAACCCATTGGAAAAGAGAACACAACCAAGAGAGCCTGGGAGTGCCAGGCTGTGGAGTGCCAGGGGGTCAGCTACATCATATTCCAATAAATGTTTTAGGATGAGGAGCAGGAAGACAGAAATAAGCTATGTTTACTGGAAGAGCAAACTGCCATTCCTCTCGTGAGTTAGGGAGCAGAGTCCCAGTGCAGTTAGTTCTAAAGTCACTGGGTAGTTTACCTTGAACTTTGGAGTTTTTCAAAAAGGGAAGTACTTGGCATAGACATACATTGCAACCTCAGAATTTAGTTCTTGGTAACTCTCAAATACTGTGAGAGTTCAGCTCTGACTCTTTTCATAGGGTTTTGACATTGGCAATATTGTTTGCCAGAGACATTTGACAAGATTCACCATGGGAATAAATGAAAATTCTCCTTGGCAGAAGTGGCAAATATATTTGTATATCTTAGTAGATGTGGGGACTACCCTTTTGAAAGTTCTAGCTGTTCATAACTTAGTCTGGAGAATTACATTCCTGTCTTCTTTTCACTGTCATTTGCTAGCAGTTATTCTAGGTGTTACTTGCTCTAAATATAAAAAGCATGTAACAAGAATTTATCCCCTGAGGTTTGTTCTCAGCTTCTAACTATGCAGCACGCCCTTTATTTTTTCACTGTCTTTATTTTAGACATGCTGTAAATGTTGATTTTAGTATAACAAACAGGGGAAAGTGGTGAGGACAGAGATGCCATCAGCTTTGCTAAAATACTGACAGTCAACCTGAAGACAGAGACATGTTGCAGCTGATCATTTTCACTAAGTGGAACACTTCAGTGTTTCAGCCCAGAATAAGCTGCACCACTCGGTGGTTACCCTTAGAGCCACTTCTAACTGGAAGGATGTGTCTAAGCCCCCCTCCAAGGACTTCCCAGGCTATATTTGGTGATTAATTGCCAGGAGCCCTGGGCTTCACAAGTGAAGGCTTTGCAGTCTTGCATAAATTTTGTTCTCTCCATCTGCAGCAAGGTTTGCACGTCTGCTCTGTCATTTTGCTGCAAGCTGGGGCTGGGGGTGGGGGCAGGGAAGGAGTACCCCAGTTGACAGCAATGTCCTAGATTTTCAGAGAAAACATCACCGTTTTGCTGATGTTAGCCCAGGGGCTTTTCTGCAGCCACTAACTTGTCATTTTATATTGCAGTATTCGCAGTGTCCTGCTGTTTTAGGATTCCCAACTGGTAAGCAGCAGATGGCTCACCAGTACAAACTAGTACAAACTTCATTGTCCTCCAATACAGCTGATGCAAAATACAAACCAAGACATTTCTGAAAGGTCTACCATCATTAAAAGGATCAAGCTCAAACCCCAAGCTTCAAACACAGCATTTATAAGTGAAATAATGTTTTTCCTCCTACCTCTTTCTCCTCATGCTTGCTTTAAATCCTCTGTATTGTGCTGCAGTTTTCTCTCAATAGCCAGTCATGAATCACAGGATTTGCTGCTGTCACAGGTGTTATGAAAGGTTTGGATTTTTTTAAAATAGCTTTTAATATGCAATCTTCTAATAAAAGAAAAATGAAGGAAATTGTTTCTTTGGGCCTTCATAACACTGCAAGATTAACAGATTTGTGCATGCAGCTCAGCACAGTAAAACTCTAGGTCAGAACTGTGTATCCATCCTGAATTATTTTTGCATTCCACTACCTGATAAGCAACAAAATTACTGCAGAGATTAAAATTTAAGGTGACCATGTGTTTGAATTAATAATTTCAGTAAATGGTATTTAAGTAAATTATAGACTTAGGTACTGGAGAATGTCTCACCACTGGATATTTTACCAAATTAACACTTCCAAGCATTTTATAGAAATCTGCTGTAGTGGTGTTCTGTGTTGTGGTTTGTTTGTTTTCTTTTACATTTGTATCTCTTTTCTTCGGGATGTTTAGTTGTTTTATCAGCATGGTTTTAGATCTTTGGCTAATTTATACAAGTGCATCTGATGCTTGGGAAACAACGTGAAGAAATATAAATGTGCATGAAGTATTGTTATTTGTTTCCATTAAATAAAGGGCAGGTTTCTTAACCTTTAAGTGTGAACTCAGAGTAAATGGGAAGAAACAGGTGACTGGTAAAAGTTTGCAAGAAATCAAACATAAAGCATCTTACTGATTTCTGCATTTATAACGTGGAAGCAGGAACAGAGGCTATTTTTGCCTTGGCAAATACGGTCAACAATGACTTACCTTTTGAAAATACTAATCAGAGCTGCAGGCACTCGTGTGCATGGTAGCTGGGCAAAAGAGCCTGTGAAATAAGGGGACTGTGTGCTAATGATGACTTGTGTGTGTCAGCAGAAAGAGTCCTTGAGCAGTCCAGCTGGGTTAATGATTTGAACATGTTTACCAAGGGATTAGACTTTAACAGAAAAGATCCTTTAACATGGGTGTGTATAATAAACTCAATTTACACAGTAATTAAGATCCAAACTTCAGTCATTTGTTTCTGTGGGGTTACCTGTGCAGTTAGGTCTGAAGACTTCTTCCGGGCCATAAAATAATTCTTTTCAGGTGCAGTTCAGTTAAGAGTTCTGATCTCTTTCAAGGCAGGTCGTGTGTGAACCAACAGCATGAAATGGATCACTATTCAAAATAGGAGGGGGTTTAATTCCACTTAATTGATCTCATCTGTAGTAAAATGGATTCAGCAGAAACGAGCATAACAATACCTCAACTGTCAGAGTGTTCTAACAAAATGTTTTCTGTGGAGGCCAAGCCAGTTTATTTTATCAGCTAAGGTATGTTTAACTCATGACTTAAACAGAAGCCAAAGAAGACCTGTTTAAACCTAGCTTGTGAGGACAGAAAGAAGGAGTATGGAGAAGTAAAGCATCCTCTATATGCCAGAACATGTTTGTTCCAAGGCATTCCCTGTTGCATGAAGAGTAGAGAATGTTACAGCAGTCTTCAGAGTAGAAGTAGAAAAAAACCCCCTCATTTCTGTCCTCTTCAGGATCATGCACATTGTTGCAATCTGCCAAGCACAGTAAACACCTGCTATTAGTACTGTTCTTAGGACAGTTGCAGGGATCCAAAACAATAAACCCATGAAATCATTCTTTTTAGGGACATTTTATAAGGCAGCAGTCTAGTTCTGTGTTCACATGGAGGAATGAAGTGGCTTCTGACTGGGGAACGACAAATAGTTCATACTGTCCGAGAGTATTTCTCCCTCCAGATCCCCATTCACACTCAGCGGACGATGAATTTGTGTGATTGTGCAGCTCTGGACACATGTTTCTGACTGAGCTCCCCAGTGGCACCCAGGCTGAGCTACTGCAGGTGGGTTCAGAGCTACAGGCAGTGGCTCTGTGTGAGCCTCCATTTAGGAGCTTTCCCGTGAACGAGCAGGGTCCACACTCCCATCAGAGCACAACCCGCCCATTAGCACATGAGGACACTATGAAAAATACAGTAATTTCCCAAGAGACAAACTCTTCTTCTGAAAAAGCACAAATGCTGTTTCCTCAGACCTTAAACTATGCTGGTGTTTACTGACCCTCACTTGGATTCACTGACAGCTGAGTACTCCTGTGTTCCTGCTGTCCCACCACATCCCACCCACCCAGCAAGTGCCCCAGGAAAGAGCACAGGACAGTTGTTTAGCTCCAGCAGCGCATGTGCCAGGGTGCAGAGACACACAATGTGCACCTCTATTTTCACATGATCGTAAGGATCACCCTCTGACTGTGCAACGATCATTCCCATGCAGCATATGGGCCTCTAGTGCTTCCAGGTTATCAGGTGGAAAGCATGGAGCCCAAAAATAAAAAACACCATGCTAGACAGAGAATTGGGAGATGACATGCTAATGTTTCTTTCAAGGGCTGTCACAACATCAGCTGCTCGGTGAAACAATTTTTTCTCCTGCAAGATACATATATCATAAGACAAGTCATGACAGATTATTTTTTTTTTTTTTAATGGTAGCAAGCAGACCAGGCTGCATATTAAAAAACATTAAAACTGCATTCTAAAAATCTGTATTCCTGACAAATCACCAGTATTCGCAGTCAGATGTATGCTACTAAAGGTGTGGAAAGAAACCAAGGAAAAGAATTTTCCTGGGAAAGACTGCTAAACATTCCTGTGCACCTGAAATATCTATAAAAATTATCCGCAAGTGCATGGAGGCTCCAGTGCCAGGGGCTCACCTCCATGCAGATAGCACGACAGTACCCAGCCTTCATCACGCAGAGGTTGGGCCTGACCAGCAAGGCTGGGGGACAGGCTGCCCAGCAGCGGCTCCTCGCGCCTGGAGCCCCTGTCGCACCACAGGGCCACCGTGCCCTGGGCAACCACTCAGCCAGCTGCTGGGGCACGGTCGCGGACCCGGCCCGCATCGGTGAAGCTACAGATGGGCCGAGGGCATTTGAGAGCCGGGGTTTGGCGTGCCGACAGCAAGTGCTGCTGCTGCTGCCGCTGACCGGCCCCCTCGCCCCGCGAAACAGGGCTGGGACACGCGGCAGCGAGCACCAACACAAACCTCCCGGGCAGTCCCCTGGACGCGAAACCGGGGGGGGGTAACATCACACACGCGGTGCTCATCTTAGCCTGCTCCTCCAACAAGCTCCCGCTCCTCCAACCTCCTACAGACCACCTTGCCCAGTGCCTTAGCAGAGAACATCTCGCCTGGGGGAGTGAACCCCCCTAAAACCTGGTTACACACGAGAGAAACAAACGTGTCCTTGGAAAAGCCCCCCTTCCTGACACATTCTCCCCTTGCTACCCAGGGCAAAAAGGCTGCAGCACGGGTGGGAGTGTTTGTTCTCTGTAACATGATTTCACTGTGTTGTTTTGGTTTGGGTTTGTTTGGTGGGTTTTTGTATGTTTTTTTTATTTGTTTGAGGTTTTTTTAACTTTATTCCTTTCACAAATGCCTGGGGGTGAACCGCTGCCGGGTCAAAGGCTGCCCCCTGGCAACAAGGGGACACTGAAGATGCCTGATCAGCGCCGCGCCTCCTCACCCGCCGGAAGCAGCTGCAGGAGAAAGCTCTCGCCCAGCCCCCTGTGCCTTTCAGCCAGGGAGGGCAGGGCACAGACCGAGGCCACAGCCATCCATAAAAGCCCCCACAGAGGACTTCTGCCCACTCCCCGTGGAGCGTCACTGCCGCCCCTTCGCACCTCCCTGCCGCTAGCCAGCTCCTCTGCTCAGCACTCGCCGTGCTCCGGGCACAGATTAACCACGGCTCCCCGCTCTCCAGTGACAGCCCCACGCCAGGACTCCCTCCACGCTCCCTCGCTCACCCTTCAGCCTGCTGCAGTGACCCCATGGCCACTTCTGGAAAAGTAAGGACAACGCGTCTCCCGTCTTCCTTTCCGCGGTGCCCTCCTGCTCTGGGGAAATACCCTGCGAGTGGCTCAGCCTGCGCTCCTCCACTGCACGCCCTCTTTCCTCTGACCCTGCTCCCCCGACTCACCCAAGCCCCTCTGAAGTACACGAGCTCCTGCTTTCATACAACTGTGCCTGTCAGTACCTGCATTAGGCACTACATTCCTCTCCCGCTCTGCCCAGCAGCGCAGGAAGGAAAACACCGAATCGTACGGCTCTGAAAAACACCCTCCTGCTCAGCCCCGCTCCGCGCTCCCGCTCTGGCACGGAAACACGGCTCTTGGGAGCTGCAATCTTGCTGCCACTCGCCGCCTCCTTTCAACCTTGCCCCTGGCAAAACCCTTTTCCACCTGCGAGCTGAATTTTGCTGAACCTCCAACCAGCTTTGGGTCGATGGGCTCGAGGTCTGGGAGATGTCCCTGACCGCGCGCCAAAGGCAAACATTCCCATGCCGCCTAACCCCCTCTGTTGCTTCCAGGTTATCAGGTGCAGAGCTGCTGTTGCCTGGGCAGTGGGCAAACCACTCTCTCTCGAGGAGGTGGAGGTTGCACCTCCAAAGGCGGGTGAAGTCCGTATCAAGGTAAAATCACGCGCACAACTGGGTTTTTGCTGCCTTGTGGGAATTGCTCCTCTTATGGTTATACCTTGAATACACCTGTCAGGGATCTATGCCCGCCAATAGGCCTTAACTGTCCAGAGAAGCCCCGGGAAACATCCTTCCACAAATGGAGTTGAAGAGAGACCAGAGTATTTCTAAATCTCACCATCTACTCTCTGCCCTTCAAACAGATTGTGGCCACAGGCATCTGTCGTACAGACGATCACCTTTTGGAAGGCTGCTTTCCTAACACGGATTTCCCAGTTATCCCAGGCCACGAAGGAGCTGGGATAGTGGAAAGTGTTGGAGAAGGAGTGACCTCTGTGAAACCAGGTAAAACACTGTATAATAATAATAATAAAAATAAAAAAACCCAACAACAATAAAAGTGACAATATTAAAATTATATTATAAAACCCCAAATGATGCACAATGCAATATCCTGCCAACCAATGCACAGCCAGTTCCCAAGCAGCAGCCCCTGGCCAGCTTTCCCCCCAGTTTACACACTGAGCATGAGGTCATATGGCCTGGAATGTCCTTTCGCCAGTTGGGGTCAGCCGTCCTGGCTGTGTCCCCCCCCAGCTTCTTTTGCCCCCCCCAGCCTTCTTGCTGCCAGGGCATGAGCAACTGGTAAGTCCTTGACTTAGTATAAACACTGCTTAGCCTCAGCTGAAACATCAGTGTGTTATCAACATCATTCTCATCCTAAAACTAAACCACAGCACTGCACCAGCTACTAGGATGAAAATTAACTCTCTCCCAGCCAAAACCAGGACAGACACAAACACAAACAGTCGCCCAGGAGTCCGCTCTCGAGGCAGATGAGGCTGCCCAGAGCCCAGAAAATCCCCCCTGCTCCTGCATCCCAAGGGCACACTCGTGGCACTGGACTGTCAGATACACATTCCTGGTCTATTCCCCAGGCAGACGAGCTGGGCCATGAGCATTTCCTCTCAACAGAGAAAGCAGAGGGTTCATGGCAGGGTGCTGCCATCAGACAGCTCAGCAGTGGCGCTCCAACGGCCACCACCATCAGGACATGCCCCAAGAGAGACACAGCTAACATGGGATGTGCATTATTGCAGGTGACAAAGTCATCCCCGTTCCCTTGCCTCACTGCGGGGAATGCAGCTTCTGCCTGAATCCTGAATCCAACTACTGCCTGAAGTCCCAGTGAGTTTACTTCGCCTTCCCCTACACCTAACTCGGTTTCTCGACAAGTCTGACACCTGCACGGGTCCTTTACTTGATGAAAAACAAATGCTTGTGCCTCCCAACAGCTTCTCCGAGTCACAAAACCTGCTGCCTGACAAGACCAGCCGGTTCACTTGCAAAGGGAAACGGATCCACCACTTCCTGTGGGTCAGCACCTTTGCAGAATACACTGTGATCCCGGAGTACGCCGCTGTCAAGATAGATGCTGCTGCACCTCTGGACAAAGTCTGCTTGTTTGGCTGTGGGTTTTCCACAGGCTACGGGGCTCCC